AGATATTTTATTTGTTTTAAGGGGGTTCCCCATACAAATAGAGCCTAGCTTGGCTATGGTACAATAATATGGTTTTACAAATTTACATACATATAATTTAAATATAAATAAATTTTACAATATTTAACGTTTAGAATGGTTTTCACAAAACATGAATAACAATAAAAATTAAAAACATAAAATGATTACTGCATAATAGTAGTTATGTGAACCAGTTACTATGATAGAAACAATAAAAAATAAAAATATTTATAAACATAAACAAAATATTACTCTTGAGATAAACTAAAAACAAACGCTTAATAGAACATGGCTATGAACAACAATTTTGTGTATGCACTTTGTGTACTCCCATCATATAATAGTAAACTTTATTTAATTTATCTATGCAATCGATATTCAGTATGGATTCGACGTTGCGGTTATCAGAAGATTCTGAGATAAAGTTTTGAAGGAATTTTTGTCTATAGTCATGTATGCTGGGCAGTGAAGGAGAATGTGATGTAGACTATTGTAGATAAATTGGCTGCATGATATACAGGTTTCTTGAGACTCAATCGAAAATGTTCTGTTTTTTGTATAGATTCTGATTTGTTCTGGGTTTGTAACTCTTTATTGACTAACACATCTCAATTTGTTTATGTGGACTTTAAATGTAAGGTACGTTTCAGGATCGGGAGCATTTTAACTGCATAGCATTTTGTATAAAGGGTAGTTAGTGGAGTTTAAAGTTCTTTGTATGTCGGCTGAGAAATAATAGTTGTGTGCTTTTTCAAGGATGTCGTCTTTGTATCGAAGAAGTCCGTTTGTGGGGGGAGCAGAAATCTCTTCTGCGAAGGCATTAAGCTCGGCTATTGCTCTAAATTGGGACACCCAATTGAAGTCTATGTCAGGCTTATCCTTATCTAAAAATTTAGTAAATATAAAAATCAATAATCTTTAACAATAATCTGTATAAACAATGGAAAGGAAACAGATGGGTTCAGAAGGTCTGATAAGACAAATCAGTTCTGAAATTACTTATTGCAGCTATTTCTCTAAGGAATTTGTGGCTTAGGATTTTGCCCTTGCACCTCCTGTGAACATTTTTGCTTCAAACATTTCCTTCTCCATTTCAAGTTTGTGGGTGTCCATAATAGCACGGTCCCTATCAGCTTCTAGCATATCAACTTCTGCTTCAACTTTGCTAATCTCAGCTTGAGCCTTTTCTTTTTCTGCTGATACCAACTCAGCCATTTTTTGAACTAATAAGAGGTTAGCCCTGGCAGTCTCTCTCTGAATGTCAATATCTGACATTTCTAATAAAGCTCCATTTATATTGTTCATTGTATTCATTGCTACTCCTTGGGTGTCCTTCATCCATGGAGTATTAATTACTGGTCTCTTATTATACTGCAAATTTGCCCAAGAAGGCACCATAGGTTTTTGTCTGCCAGTTTCTATAGGATATACTTTGATATATTTGTTGTCTTCATTTACAACCTCACGTTTTTTTTTAGAAAAATTCTTGCTGTATGAAACTTCAGTGACATTTTCCCAATAAGGTTGCATAGTAGCCAAGGATACCAAGAGTGGATACTTCACACTTCTCAATGGTATGATTGTTTTGGGGTAAATGGAAGAAACATAAGATGATCCTTGATTCAATGCAGGTTTAATTTCATGCTTCACATTGATTGGAATTACTGAACCAGCATAAATGCTTTGTGTTGGACCTAATATCTTTTCAATTGTTCTCTCTTTTTTCTGCTGGGAATATTTCATCCTTGATGCACCTAAGAAATAATATATTCTTTCAAATTAAAATATTTATAAGTATTGTGCACAATGTACAGTGATTTGGTGCATTTCAGTGAAGCAAGCGCCACTGCAGTGTGTTTTTAAGAATAGAAAGCTACCTAATGTTATGTAATAAACAAATGGCTTTGCATTCTTTAATTTTTTTTTTATTCAATTATTGAATAGATTTACATGTAGAGGTTGAAAGATCACATTTCGTTACGAAAAAATCAACAATTAATATGAATAAGTAATTATATATTTTGACAGAAATATTAAAATCATTTAAGAGATTATATTTTTTATAAATTTCACAATTTTAAATAAGCAACAAAAACGAATGATCTCAATTTTGGAAACTGATAATTTAAAAGAGGAAAATAAAGCCGACAAAATGAGAAACTCTTCTATGATAAATCAAAGTATAACTGTTATAGAAAAATCATTTTATCACTTAAAATAATTGATTTAATCCTAAAAATCCAGTTTACCAGGAACTAATGTTGCGACTTAATGCGTTTTTTCTGTATTAAATAAGAAATGGACATCAGAAAAACTATAACTAAGTGTTGAGACTTTGAAAGTCATTTTATGTGTGAAATATAATTTAACGAATTCTTGTAAACAAATTCTTGATGTTTTTAATGACAACAGCAATCTAATAAAAATAATTCAACTCAAATGAGAACAGTACCAAAAAATAAATAATATTATTCATAATTTTTTTAATGTGTTGTAATTGTAAATTGTTATTATGTTGAAATAAAAAAAATATACATTACAATACTATTTTTACATTCAATGAAAATTTTTCATTGCTCCATATAGACTGAATTTTTAATCGAAAACTTCCAATCTCTCCCCCAGATCAATGGTGTCCCGCTTTGCCAATGCTGAAATATAATCCCTTTACTTTTTTCAGTAAAGACAATGTACATCCTGTTTGTTTTATTTCCAACTTTTAATAAAAAAAAAAAATCAGTCTAACATTTTAATGTATCTAAATATATTTTTAAGCTCTTAAAAGGATCAATGATCTTTTTACAGTTTTTAAAAATAATTTTCCTCTAATTAGTGCTTGAACAATAAGGTAAAGGTTTTTTTTGCTTTCCTGTAAAATATTGAAAACTGAAGTTTTACTATTCCCGACTCTAATGATGCCTGAATTGGCGAAATATTGATAAGTTATTTTGTTTGTTTGATGAGTGTTTCTAATTTAGTAATTATAACATAACATTTTTTTTTTTTACTTTTGAATTTCTTGCCATCACCCAAAAAAATATTATCCTCAGTGGTAAATAACTTGGCAGTAACTTCATTTATTTACTTTATAACTTCGCAATGGGACAGAGAAATTTTCTCTCCATAGAAAGAGCCAAACTTTTTAATTTCTCAGAGATGTGATATTCCATTAACTATTCATGGAACTAAATGCCTCTGACGAAAAGGGATCTACTTACAATTGGATAAATTTGAATAGACCAAAACTAAAAAATAAACATAAATATTTGTAACCAAACAATAAGTTCTTGAAATAATTCTTAATTTTGAAATACCAAACACATCAATTAAGAAATAAATGTATAATAAATATGTTTGAGCCTAATTTAGAGGAAAATAAATATTCCCAGTGCTTGGAATTACATAAAGTTTTAATAAATCAACAAGTTTTTCAAGAATTTTGTAAATATCTGTGATTATTTTTCAATTTAGGACTTTGTAAGGTATAAATGACAGTGTAGGACTTTCTTCTATTGGAATATCATCTGATTTCATGTATTCAGTGAACATTTCATCTTCCAAATTAATTTCATCATCAGTGTCCTGATTTGACTCACCATGATTTCTATGTACTGGAGCTCATAAGAACTATTTAGGTGAAGAGTCTGTCGATATTTGAAGAATCTTTAGATTCCCTGGGAAGACATGCAGCAAACTCATCTCTAATTGTTTGAAGGTCTGGAGGACTAAAACTTTGCCCCTTCATAACCACCCTCATCTTATCTGGTTACCTTTGTGTTGTCACATTAGTTTTTGGTTATTCTTACAGTCAATAATCTTAGATTTTTCTAAGGTAAAATATTCTAAATTAGCAGCCAAATAGTAAGCTTGGAGGACCGCTTCGATCATTTCAGGCTTCTATTTCATCCTTGTAAGAACTCCTCTTGATCTCTGATGCTGAGTATGAATGGATAGAGCATTATCTTCCAAGTGCGACTTCAGACTATGGACCATCAAATTTAGTCTTGTAGTCACCATATCTGGTGATTATTCTCCTATCTGCCACCTCGTGAGGCGCCTCATGAGAGACTAGAAACTCCACGTGGCCATACTATTATTATTTGCTTCTCATTATTATTATTATAAGGAATTATTTTTAAAAATATGTTAATAGAAATCATTAAGAGGCAAATGAGATGAAGACAATGTGTTGTTTAGAGAGAGGATTAGGAATCATTCCAAACTATGATAAGACCAGATTAATAAGAATTAACTATGATATTCCATACCATCAAAGGCATAGAAGTCAATGGCAGATTTCATTACTTTTCATAAAGTGACAGTTACACTATGAAAGTAATCTGTTTTACCTAAAGCTGTTTGGCACAAAATAAAAAGAACCAGACACTTTTATCAAGTCTCACCCATGTTTGCAGAAATATAATACAGCTGGTCTTGTTTGATCGTACTTAGCAGTATCTTTTAGTATTATCCTTACAGTAAAAATAATAGTGTCTCTTCTTTTAGTTTTTATTTATGTTTAGTACTTGATATTATTTTGCTGTATTACATTTCAATCAATTGTTTAATATAGACACATGAATTGGAATAGAAATAATATGAAGCAAATATTTATTTGTGATACATAGTAGGATTAAAATTTGTACATTTAAAAAAAATGTGCTCTCGACAAAAATAAAGTATGTGCAGAGCTGAAAATTTGTTTAAGCTGGTGCATTAAATTTAAGCATTATATTTAATTTAATTGAATGTTAATATATAATTAATGAAAAATAAGAGACCATTAAAGACACATTCCATGGCTAATAAAATTTATAATTATAATTTAAAATAGTTTAGTATATTAATATAGCTCAATATTAAAAAAAAATGATAACTTTTCATAATATTCAAAATAAAAATTAAAATGACGAGAGGTTATGTGTCTTTATTTTCAGTCCATCAGATATTTCTAGAGTATGATTTTTCTCTTGCCTTACCATTACAGTCAGCTTCATCAGAATTATCTCCACAATCATCTTCAGAGTCGCAGACCCAAGCCATTTGCACACATTTATCATTTTTACATTTGAACTGTCTCAAGGAACATTCCATTATTCCTAAAAAAAAAATAAAATAAAATAAATAACAATATTATAGATACATAAAAAAAAACTTTATTAATAAAATAATTACTTCTGGCCGAACAAAAGACTTCTAGCCAAACAAAATTATTACATTGAATAAAAAAAAAGAAAGTTATGATTAAAATATATACAAAACAAATGAAGAACAATGAAGCAATATATTTGTTACTAAGAGAAACAATTAATTCTTTTAATAAATAAGTAAAGTCTTAACTATATATATATATATATATATATATATATATATATATATATATATATATATATATATATATAACCATAAGTTATGGTTGGCAGCCACCTAATATTGTATTTAATCCTATAGAGATTAGGTAAACAAAGACTAATACTATATACAGAGGATTGATTACCAGAGAAATAAAGGCAGTCTTTAGCGAGTACTTGAGTGTGTTCTTTCGAATCCCTTTTCCTTTTATTATTATTTTTTGCCCAAATGATCATAAGTGGAGCCGAAACCCGGGATCTTTAGATTCAGTCAGTAGGTAGTTTTTTTTTTTCTTTTCTTTTTACGTTGACAGAAATAAAAAAGGAAAAAGATGCCGGACAGAGTTGGTCAAATGTTTCGTTGCATATCATGTTTAATTACAACTAAAAAAATCTAAAAACGTTAAAATAAAAAATAATTTGATTTAAAAAAAAATACTAGGAAAATATTTTTATCATATGTCGCAATCAGAACATATAACGTTAATTTTTAATAACAGGCATCCAACTCTTGAAACGGTTTAGCTTCACTTATTATCATGTATATTTCATTATAGTCCCAAATGTAACAATTGGTAAAAGCTAATACAATTTTACACAGAAGAAATGAACAAGACTTCCCTATTTAAAATGACACAGATATTTAAAAAGAATATTCTTGGCAATAATGTTTTATATACCTTATTCGAAAGAATTCAATCATAAAGCTGTGAAAACTATAAACTGATCGAAGAAATTTTATTAAGAAATGAAAGCTAATTTAACTTCAGTTGCTCTTTTAACTACAAGTAGAGTACATTCTTTAAACAAAATGATTTTGGGTTTTCAATTAAAATAAAACAAATTACAGTATGAGTACTTTTTGTACTTATCTAATAGCTACTTGAGTACTTTGTAATAGGTGTGTGCAAATACCTAACACTGAAACTAAGTAAACCTCGGTACTCTTAATGAAACATTGTTTGCGAAGTAAATATTATTGTAATTTATAAAGTTGCTATTATATTGTCAATAAATGATTAATGAAAAAGATTTCTGGTTTATATTACATCATTTTAGGGTTTATATCAGATATTAAAATTATATTGAGATGAGTTGAGGGGAGTTAAGAGTGTTTTGGAATTCAACATATTTTAATATAAAAATTTGATAGAACAATACTGTATTATAAGGGGGCAAGAAATAAAACATGAGTGATTTACAGCTGGAAATAAAGAATATTGATGGCAATTCTCTTATAAATATAAAACTTAAAAAATAGAAAATGAAATAAACTAAGAAACAACTAATTAAAATTATAACAAATATTTATGTTTATGTTTTTAATAATTATATAGTTTTTATGAATTTGTAATAAATTTGTATCAATAAAGATCTGATAGCATGACGCACAAGCACAAAATGACTCAAACTTCTATCTGATTAGCTGATTAATACGTTAATGGTCCTTCTCAGATTCCGCTTAATCATCTATTGCTAGCTGTTATCAGAAATTTATATTTAATGATATCATTCAAAAGTCTTGAATTTCACCAGATAAATAAATAAATTAGTCATATCTTTAGGCGATAAGTTAAAAAAAAAATCAATAAATATCATGTAAGCATGTCATACTTAAAATTATTCCTATACATACATACATATATAAGTGTACATAACCGCGACATTCCGTTGCCGAGACTGGTCCTTCTCCAAAAGTCTCCTCCACTTTGTTCGGTTGTTTGCTGCAGTCAGTTGCTCTAGTTTCGGACTCCAAGGGCAGAGACTGAGACCATCCATCGGTTGTCGTCCAACTTGCCGTTTCCCGTGGAGCTCTTTGGTGAGAATAATTTTCGGAATCCCGCTGGCAGCCATCCTTTGCACATCTCCTGCCCATCAAAGTCGCCCGAACTTCACGAACTTGACTATGTTAATATCTTTATATAGTTTCGTTAGTTCGGGATTCCTCCTTCTTCTCCAGACATCATCCTGTCAAACAGGTTCGAAAATACGTCTAAGAAAGCTCCTCATGAAGACAATCTGTCTGGACTCATCCGCCTTCGTGAAGACCCAAGTCTCTGAGCCATAAGTGACGACTGGACTGACCAGGGTCTTATAGAGTTTGAGCATGGTCTGGTTAGAGAGCATTCTACTTCTAAAATGTTTGGCAAGGCCAAAGTAGCAACGGTTAACTGCTGCAGTCCTCCTGTTTACTTCCTGGGTAATGTCATTTTGGGAGTTAATTTCCGAACCAAAATAGGTGAAGCTGCTAACCTACTGAAAACGGTACCCTCCCGCATCAAAATATCCAAATCCTGGTTTGGCTCCTCGTCTTGGCCTCATTAACAACTAGGCCAAGATCTCTAGAAGCACCTTCCAGAGAGCCAGGGATGATTTTCGTAGTGCCAATTCCGATCTGGCAGCAATATCGAAATCATCCTAGTATCCCAGAAGCTGGACTGTAGTGCTAAACAGTGTTGATAGGAGTTGGATTCCAGAATTTCTTACCGCTTTATCCCCTGCAAAATTGAAAAGGAGGCAAAGCATCTCGTTGCTTAATGCCGCAATTTGTGAGAAAGGAGTCAGAAAGATCTATATCCACACGAATCATACACTTTGAGCACGCCATTGTCATCTTAAACAATTTCACTAATTTTATCGGAACGTTCATTTCTTTTAGGGCCCGGTAAAGTTCCGGTCGAACAACATTGTCATATACGGATTTTAAATCGACAAAGAGATGTTGGGTTACGATTTTATACTCTTTGCATTTTTCTAACGTCAATTGCAATGTAATAGTTGGTCCATAGTGGATCTTCCCCTTTTAAATCCTGCCTGATACTTTCCGATCTCTCTATCTGCATATGGAATCAATCTCAATATTTGAGAGTACTTTATAAGTAAATGAGAGAACAATACCCCGGTAGTTGCTGCATTCCAGCTGATCTTCCCTGGTGAATCTGGCAGATAATACCTTTTGACCTGAGATAATACCTTTTTGACAAATAGAAAGAATGAGATTGTGAAGATCCTTGTTGAAGTCAGAAGCCACCAGAAGCCACCACCAGCTCTGCTTGAATGCCATCTTGTCCTGGCGGCTTTTTATTCTTCGATTTTGCAATGGCTGCCTCAACCTCGTCTTCATCAGGTGGCTCTGCATCACCGTGTGTGTCCTCTTATTTGCCTGTTTCAGCACCTTTCTTCATATCTTCATTTTGGAGTATCTTCTTGTAGTGAAGGGAGCGGGGTAGCTCAGTGAGTGAGCACTGACTTCCAGAGCTCAAGGTCCTGGGTTCGAATCCGGCTAATGACTAGTAATTTTTCATTAGCCGTGGATCGACCCTGGGATCAGGAGACCCTCCTGGGGCACACTCAGCCTCTATAAAGTGGGTACTCTTAATTATAAAAAAAATTAAGGGGGAAAACCTGGCGGTTGAGTGTGATATCGGCCATCACTTCCCTGCACAACCGTTGGCCTTGAAACAGTACTTCCTCACATAGTACTGCACCCAAGACCTCTTGTTTTGACTGCGGTTCGTCCCTCATTCAACCCCCCCCCCCCAAAAAAAAAACAGTCGACTCTCCTGTAAAGTTCTGATTATTATTCTCAATTATAAAAGTATTCCTATAACTGAACTTGACTGAGACCATACTATTACATTATACACTAACAGGCAAACAATTCCACCCACTTGATTTTTTCATGTTTTCATCTAAAAATATTTCTGCTTTGGATTGGTCTATTGTTTTTAATGAATAAATAGGTAATCTTTTTGTTTGTTTTCAATTAGGAATGTTAATATAGAGGACAATAACCCTTAATTCTTAATCCAATGAAATGATTCTAGATTCCAATGTTTACTTTCTATGGAATCAAAATGTTTATTCAGTATCATTAGTTCAGTGCCGTTTCTTGCAGCACATTCTTAGTCTCCGGCTTTTAATTTTTTCATTATTAAGTTTAAAAATGCCTCTTAGTACTGAGGATGTTGCGCGTGGTGTGGCACTTATTGAAGATGGACGTTCCATTAGATTTGCGGCTAATCGCATCCGAGTTCCATATGAAACTTTACGAGACGCCGTCAGGCGTTTTCGGAAAACTGGTTCTTACAATAGAAGGCCCGGTTCTGGGCGGCCTAGGGTAACAGAACCACGGGATGACTGGTTTTTGACTTTGTGAATTTTACGAAACCGGCACCTTACCGTTGTTCAAGCGATTCATCAGCTCGAAGAAGTTCAAGGTGTGCAAATTTCTGAACGTACCGCTCGGAGAAGATTAAATGAGTATGGATTAATGGCTTTTCGTCCTGTTAGAGGACCAGAGTTGACCATAACTCACAGAGTTAGACGACTGGCTTTTGCTCGAGAACACAGCCATTGGACTATGGACGAATAGAGTGCTGTACATTTTATAGATGAGTCAAGATTCGCTCTTCGATCTCCGGACGGGCGTGAAAGGGTGTGGAGAAGAAAAAACGAAAGATATGCAGCCTGTAGTTTTTCCCAGAGCCAACCTTTCCAACGTAGTTCCTTAATGGTGTGGGCTGGGATTTCATTCATTCTATATATATGAAGGCAAAAGAACACGTGGAAGACCAAAAACAGATGTATAGATAGAATAAACAAAGATGCAATGGAGATGCGTACAAATAAATGGAAAGAAATAGACCAAGACAGGCACATATGGAGCAGGCTTGTTAAGGCTGCAAAAGATCCACATGATCTGTAATCCCAACAGACAAAAAAGATATAACATACCGGTAACAGCCAT